GCAAGTCCCCTGGACTACAAGGTGATCAAACCGGTCAGTCCTAGAGGAGATCAACCCTGACTGCTCTTTAGAAGACCAGATTCTGAAGTTGAAACTCAAATACTTTGGCCGCCTAATGAGAAGGAAGGACTCACTGGAGAAGAGCCCAATGCTGGGAAAGATTGAGGGCAATAGAAGAAGGGGATGGCTGGATGGAGTCACTAAAGCAGTAGGCATGAGCTTAAAGGGACACCAGAAGATGGTAGAGGACAGGAAGGCCTGGAGGAACATTGTCCATGGGGTTGCAATGGGTTGGACACAACTTCGCAACTAACAACAATGTAGAACAGCTGCCCCGACAACCAGTCCATTTTCAGATTCAGTTCAAAATTATGGCTAATTACTGAAAACTCTTAAATCCCTTCAGTTCTTCAGGATAAATCTTTCATCCAAGTCTTTATTTGCTTCTCTACCATGTGAATCATGACATCATGCTGGCCACATGACCGTGGAAATGTCTTTGGACAGTGCTGGCTCAATGGCCTTGAAACAGAGATGAGCAACTAGCTGAGTAAAATCCTCAGGGACTTCTTTATCTTTACCCCATGTGAACTAAGATGTGTCCTGCAAGGATTTTTCAATCATTGTCTACAGAGATATTCTCTGATCCTTTTCACTGACCATTTTGTGATGTCAGCTATGTCAATGCATGTGTGCTGAATGTTTACTGAGAATGCAAACAATTTCCAGGAACTGTTAGATCAGTGGTTCTCAACCTTTCTAATGCCGTGACCCCATAATACAGTTCCCCATGTTGTGGTGACCCCCAAGTGGGTGTGGCCACCAATAAGAGGGAGTAGGACAGCTAGGGAAAAGGGGAAAAAATGGCAGACAGCGTGGTTTGGCGACCCCCGTGAAATGGTCATTCGACCCCAAATGGGGTCCCGACCCACAGGTTGAGAACCACTGTGTTAGATTAATTTATAATGCAACAAAGAGAAAAATCTGAAAATTAATTTATTGTAGACCAAAATATTTCTATTTAACAAGGAAAAGTGAATGAAAGATTGCCAATTATAAATAAATTGTTATTATCTAAAGAAAGTAGATGAATTTATGTACATTAGTATCATAGAATATTTAGTAAACATGGAAAAACGAATAGACATTTTAAGACCTCAATTGCTCGTAGGAAGGTACTTGGTAAGAATGAACATTTCTTCCAAGAAGAAAATATGCTTGCAAATAATAGCATTCTTTTGCACAGTTTTTTATATGTAAGTAAGCATTTGGTGTGGCTTACAAAAGCAATGTAAGAGCAAGGATAGGATCAAGAATGAATGATGATGAATTAAGGTGGCTTAATACAGGAGTATACTGTATGACCAATAGTGAAGAAATATATTAAGTGATTTGATCATAGAAGAGAATTAATAAGAACTGAATTGCAAAACAAACAAATGAAGGAAAAGCAAATGGGTCAGGAAGAAGGTTAAGAAGAGCAAGAAAATAATGGTTGCTGGAACTGAAACTATAAAAGAGAGATGAGAAATGAGTTAAGTTTAAAGAACAAAAGACAATGTGCGGTCAAGAATACACATATGATTAGAGAAAATGACAAAAAACATATAGATTTTAAGCCAGAATTATTTTTATTAGGTATAATTGTAGGAAATTATGAGAAAGAGTGTATATATCTAATTTTATATGTATTAACTGCAGTGAGAATTGTATTCGCTCAACATTGGAAAAATGAAGATTTAACAACAACAAAAAAATTAGATTGTGCAAAAATGGATAGATTGACATTGAAAATGAACAAGAAAGATTCAATATACTTTAGAACATGGGATACCTTTTATCAATGGTTAGAAAAACAAGGTAGAAAGAAAGAAATTTAACATGTATTAGTATGTTAAATGTTGGAACCTAGACAATGTGTTGCTGATAAAATACTAAGCACTTCTGATTATAAAAAAAATTATATATATATATATGTATGAATATGGATATACATATACATACATACATACATACATACATACATACATACATACATATATATAAAATATTTGCAAAGAGGGAAGATATAGAAAGGACACTGGGTTGTGTTGGTGTGAAATAGGTGCATATGCCTTCTTTTTCCCTATTTCCTGTCTTTAATTTTTCATTCAAAATTTCTTACTATTCTTCTGGATTTTGTATAATGTTGTTCACCCCAAAAATAGATGATAGATGATGGATGGATGGATGAATGGATACACACACACACACATCCATGATGATAGGAATGCTTATTTGTCTTTTATTTATATAAATAACATTCAGTGTCATCTTGCACTGCAACAGAGTACCAATAGCAAGAAATGGCAGACCAACTTTCTTGCCCTGGTATCTTTACTAAGTCTCTGAGCTAACTAGGGGTCAGGTTTTTTCCCCTTGAAATGTATATTTAATGTTATATCCTTGGTTTCTTTGATTGTTGTTGGGCAGATTCTTTTGGTTATTTTTTTTCTAATTACGTTCCTCCAGATTGGATCTGTCTCAACTATGGAAGTTCATAGGTTGTTGTGAAGAAAATAGGAGAAGGAAGCACCATGAACACTGTTTTATGCTCCTAAATGAAAGGGATATTCAAATCAACTGTTATTGTTCATTATAGAGTTTCTTGTCCCTACAGTGACATTTTTGAAGCTCCACATATTATTTCTGCTGCAGATGTAACTATATCCAAATGGATTTCCCCCCCCCCCGAACAGATCAAAATAGGAAGAAAATTCACTTCTGTAATTTTTTTCTCTAAGTATGATGTTCAGTATTAATTTTATATTCTGCCTTTTGAAATTCCAATTGTTTCATGCCTACTACATCTCAAATTTGCATCCATTTAAACACAGCTTTTAACTTGCTCATTTTCTGAATCATATGTCATCAGCAATTTATAAATGAACCCCCAAAATACTCCCAGGGGGCTAATAAAAGTTTTTCAGATTGAATCAAGCTACAGGATGTCATATGCCTGGTCATCTGAGGGGCATATATTTCCTATATCTACAGTATGATCAAGCAGAATTGGCACGTATCAAGTTCTAAACAGTGCCATTTGATGGGATCCAAGAAGTAGGCCTTCTTTGACAAAGCATATGCCATCTGGAAAATCTCCCAGAGACTTATATGGCCTTCGCACTGCCTTATTTTAGCAAATTTTTAAAACCTGGCTCTGTTCCTTGGATTAGACTGGACAGTGGAGCCTCTGTAGGGATAACCAGTTTATTGGAAATAATTTTCTGCATAACTACATTTTTATTTTGCTTTGATACTCATTTTATTTGTATTATATTATCATGAAATTGTATTGTGTACTGTCCAGAGTTATAATGGAGTTGGGAAGCTTATAAATCCAATACACAAAAAACAAAGTCCCACATTTCAGTGGGTCTGTGCTAAGTCTGATTAAATCCAGATCTGATTTGCTCGATTTAAGCTATTTTTGTTGTTAATATTCCTAAAGGGAAGAACAAGAGACTTTCATAATCAGGTTCATAAAATGTTTGCTTTTTAACCATCTTTACATGAACATGAACACAATGACATTTTTAGATGACAAGGAGAAAGTAGCTTTTTTTGCACATTCTTAGACAAATACAGTACAAATACAAAAGCTTTAGTTAGCTGATTCAAGTGATCAGGAAGTTAGGTGACAATGGTGCAAAAAGTATGCTCTGCATAAATCTCCATGTGTTAATGTTGAATTTCTATCCCTTCAATGGAAGAAAAATGCAGATTAGAGGACACTATCTATTTGAATAGCTTTTCCCTTCTATTGTTACCCTGTTAAGTCCTGCTGAGACACGGAATAGGCAACTGTATGAATGAGAATTCAATAGCATGCTTTTCTATGGAAAAATCAGCAGATCTGGAACAGTTTTTTTACTTTACAAAATGTGAAAATTACTGAGCCTGAAATCATATTCAGTAACTCTACTTTTTCCTCTGAATATATTCTATCAAATATTCAGACACAACTGAAGTTTAATGAAATTACCCAGTGTCTTGCAAAGTATAAAGAATCAAGAAATATACTGTAGATATAAACACAGGAATCTATCAAAAGGATTTTAAAACTTCAGTATTCTATGTAGTTCTAAACTGACTTTTCTCCTCATTAGAAAAATTTGGCATGCAAAACTGTCCTATATTCTACACCTGATCATTTCCATAATAGATAATGTAGTTATCAGCAGAGTCATATTACTTCACCTGGAACATTTTCAACCATTTATCACAATGTTGATCTTTATTTTAAACATAAAATCAGGCAATCATTTATGTCTCCCATGTTCTTTGTATTTATTCAAGGATATTTAACAGGAGACAAAGGGTGACTTATTCATTATTCATCCTGAACAAGGCAAGTATGGCAATTTGAAAAGCCTGACATTTGAGCTTTTTGCCAACACTAGCAAAATTATATCCTTCCCATTGTAAATCAATGAAGTAGAATCATTGTGCACAAAAGAATTAAATTGCCTTGTCACTTTAATAAGGCCACCTTATATACACCCTTCAGCCAGTGCCATTGTGCAGAGAAAGGGTTCATCCTTTGCCCCAGCTGCCTTAGATCTCAGTAGGCATTCCAATTAAATGAACATCCTCTTAGTCTTTTGCTGTACTCAACCTCTCACCAAAGTGAAAGAGTGAAGTCAGAATGTCACTAGCTCAAAACTTTGTATCAATGGAATGTACCCATCAGTAAGGATTAGTAATTCTCTCCATAATTTCTCTAAGTTCGGAGGAAGGAGAAGATAATTTTTTAACTGATTTAGCCATTATCACAATGAGGGGAGCACTCAAGAAATAATCAGTTTGGGATAAAAATATTATATTGAACAGGCATTATAAATCTGAAAAGTGCAACTAAAATATTTCATCCAATGAAGAATATGAAAGCCATGGGAACCAGTTTGTGTATTGTGAATCCATGTGTCTGAATTAATTCAAGCAGGACTAACTTTTCTTGATTTTTTTTTTTTTTTGGCCAGCTTTATTAAATCAATTTTTTTTTCAGTATAATGGGAATCTTTTTTTAGCCATTTCAGATGTCTAATCAGTTGCCTTAGAATGCTTCTAATTCATATTGGCATTCATGGAACAGAAGAGCAAGTTCAAATAGGTAACAACAAGAAGTTGGGTCTGTGTATATGAATTTAATATATTTAATAGATACGATCTGGAAGAAAATTTTCATCTTTCAAAACCCTGCCAACCATTGCACTTGTAAACCCTGAGAAAGATACATCTTGCATTGTTTTAATAACTTCTTGAATAACATATATTTGGATAGTAAAAGAGATGGAAAGGAATAAAACCAAATGATGGGCCAAGGAGCAAGAACAGTTTGAGTTCAACTAACATTTCACGATTTAGCCAGAAAATGTTGATGCCAAATGACCTTTTTCTGAAGGACGATTTAAGTAAGACCAAGCAAAAGGATTGTTTCTGTAATATGGTTACCATAGAGATTGGCCCTTTTTAAAAGGTGGGGGAGAATTGATGTACATTTGCAATCAGCTAGTGCCTGTAACAATAAACGGGCTTGATAAAGCAACACTCCAAATTTAACTCTAAAGAAAAAAAAAGTGTGTTTGAGATTCAGGGAAGAGAAGGAGCTATTCAAAAATATGGACAAAGAGGCATTTGGTAACATTGATGATGAACTGGGAAGTATTGTGCTTGAAAAGAATGTACTTGCACATAATAGTGACCCTAGCAATGATTTTACCATATATACTAATAATTAAATTCCCTAACAATATTTGACAAAAAATACCAGCTGGGAGACACTGACAGCATAGGATAATGATTTTGATATTTCCCTATGGAATTAAAATGCAACAAAAGGTGGGATATATTTGGAGAAGGAACTATGCCAATAATGTTGACCAATCATGTATGCATAAAGTTCTGTAAAATTTCACAAACCTACCAAAGTGGGAACAGATTTTTTGGTTTTTGTTTTGCTCATATTTTACCTTATCTTTAATCTTGCTTTTAAAATGGGATAACATTTTGTATATTTCTAGTCTATTTGTATATACTTTTGTATTCTTTTCTGGAGAAAGATTTATCTGTCAAGAATAAAATGGATGCCCTGTGAAAGATTATGCCATGTTCCTACACAAGGCTTTTACATAGCTGATTTCTCATGCAGACTTATGCATTACCTGTGAATTACGATGCTCATTTCAGTGCAACAGTCATCCAATCATCCTTCAGATAATTCTTTTTTTTAATGGGCTGTGGTTTGGATTCATACAGCAAAATAATGAGGCGTTGTAAAGAAGTTCCACAATCTCCAACAAGAGGGGAGAAAGGATCATCCCAGTGACAGTGTGTAGTGTAGGGAGGAATCTAAAGCTCTGCAAAAGGATGTCCCCCGCTCTATTTAATTATATCAAATGAGGCATAGAACAACTGTGGCTGGATAACTAGGACATTTTTTTAGGATACATCAAGTGGCTCACCCTTCCACAATGGTCATAGTAGATAACTTTAATAACTAACAACCAATCAAGCTATAACTAATTAAAATCTAAATTCTTTTTTGTAATTCTGCAGTCTCAGTGAATAAAATGAATAAAATGCATGCTTAACAGTTAATAAAATCCGTACAGCAACATAGTTCTTCTTACATCTTCAGTATCATCTTTCTTCAATATTCTGAAATATATCTGCAGAAACAACATAGCAAGAATATTAGGAAGCACTGCACTTCAGCTCAGATTTTACTGTATATATGTGGCCTTGTGGACCAATTACTTAAACTACATTGATTTATTTGCATAGACTAGTAGTATTTTTATATTAATCAAGTCTTTCCTGGGTTAGAAACAGGTGCTTTTTCCGACTCTATATGGAAATGCTGAAGTTGGGATCTGAAAGTATGTGTTCTGTCACAGAGCCACCAATCTTAAGCTTTCATTGCTGAACAATAAAATGCTAGTGTCACTAACTGAATAGCTATGATGACTGGTGTACAGGCTATAATACAGGAATTGGCAACCTGGAGAACCCAGGTGTTGCTAAACAAAGACTACAACTATTCATAGAAAGTACGGCCAGTGGGGAGGAATGTGGCTTTCCTCTCTAAGAATTATTTTCACCTGAGAGCTTCAGAGCATGTTAGCATATTGTAATAAAATGAGGGAAGAAAAAGTACTAGTGAGATGTTCTTCTTCCTTCTATATTGTTCTTCATGATGTGCCAGTCTCATATATTCAATTTGTGAAGTGAAGAATCTAAGGGATACTTAGTTAAGTAACCTTGGGTATAATCTGCCATTAAAATGAATGGAAACAAATGAATATTCAGTTGGACTGCACAAATCGTAACTAAATCAAGTTTTACATCTCTTGATGAGTCAGTCATTGAGAACTAAGAATTTTATGGGACATTTACTGACTGTCTGCCCAAATGAGTAAATCTTAAAGTTTCATGCATATATCATTCATTAGCAAGTGGGAAAATAGGCACAAATTCCCAAACAATCAATTGATTCATAGGTTTACTCTGTATAAACCATTTTTAGAAAGGAATAATAGGAAAGCAAGGGATGTTATTCCTAGAATTCCAACCAATTTGCCTTTACGAGTGTATGTCTCTTCCTTCTCCACTAAAACTTCTGTCTTAAGCAAAATAACAATAGAGAAATAGCACCACTGTAAAGATGGTGAATGGACTACAAACTAATTGAGCCCTCCTACTGCCTTTGTTCCCATATTGAATCTTGAAGAAAAGTCCAATTAACTTACATCATAACAATTTCCAGCTGCTTTGAAAACTACCAGAGTGCTTTCTGTAAAGTTTACTAAGATAGAAAATAATGCAGCAGTCTAAGCAAGGCCAAACAATGGAGGATCAATGGAATTTTATTTTCATTTATTACACAATTATTGTGCAAATGGCAGACCATAAGGCTCAGAAAAAGGGGCAAAAGATGGATATACCCAATTAGCATAGTCTGTATATTAAAATACTGATATTTTCTTCTTGCGCAGCATTTGCAGAAAAATATAACAGTTAATAATTTGTAAACTCTAGGAATATTAAATTATCAACATCAGCAAAAATTAACATTTGACAAAACAAACAGAAAGTTATAGTGAGGTCCATAACAAGCCATAATAATCCCAAAAGGATAATGTGCTTTATTAAAAGACTGGGGAAATTGCTCCATTATATAGTGAAGTCTAACACAAGAACACAAATCACATTATTTGCTTTCTGATGTCAGGACACAAATTTCATAGTTTGCTGTTCTTAATTTCCCCGAAAATGCTTGTGTTTCAGGACAAACTAAATTATCTCCATTATCTCTAATGAATAAGATCACGATACTGTTTGAGTTTAGAAGGATACATAATATGCTTACATTTCAAAGCATTAACCTAGTCTTCTTCATCTTCCTCTTCTTCAGATTCACTTGTACTATCTGTATCAGTTATACTTTCCTTATCTTCTTTGTTTTCCTTTTTCTGGGCTGCCAAATTTTCTTTCCCACCTAAACAACTGTAGTGACATTCAATTATTTGATATTTATAGTTTTAACCATGTTTCCCTTTTCCTTTTTGTACTTCATGCCTTAATGTTGTTGGCTTACAATCTCTTCTTTTCTATGCCTTGCATAACACTGTTTATCCCAAACAGAAATAGTATGGTGGGTATATACATATGTATGTACATTTAGTAGTAGTAATAAAGTACTTTATTACTGCTTTATTACTAAATAGTAATAAATAGCAACATAGCAATATTCTGCAATGGAATCTTGCTTAATTGGTAGGTTTCAAAATAGGGTAGGACACCTAGATAGGAAACAGGATTTTTCTAAAGTTCATCAGCAATTCCAAACTGATTCCTGAAAAGCAGTTTATTGATCACTTAGACCAGCCTGCATAGGCATGAATAACCTATTTGTATGTTGTGCTTAGACTGTGATTAAGCATTTGTTTGTTAACATGTTTGTATTTAATGTCTGCATGTAAAATTTATCAGGAATATTGTGAAATCCTGTATCATTGTAACACTAAAAATCAGGGAATTGCTTCTTAAATCATCATCACCCTATTCATCTACAACTCTTATTTTCCAAACAAATGTTATCTGCATTTCAGCTACAAAAAAATTATCCATCTTTATCATCAGTCATGACAAGCAACCTTATGTCTTAAGTTATTTAACTTTATGTCTTTGTGTATGTGTGTGTATGTATAATGTCTCTTGTGTTTAAAGATATTTACCCATGTAGTAGGGCTGTATTACTATTATCCTTCTCATCTTTACTACTATTACTACTACTACTGTATCCTATTGATATCTTATGATTATATTATCTTGTTGTTGTTATATACTGAGAACTTATGCACCAGAGACAAATTCCTTGTGTGGCCAATCACACGGCTAATAAAATCTATTCTATTCTATTCTATTCTATTCTATTCTATTCTATTCTATTCTATTCTATTCTATTCTATTCTATTCTATTCTATTCCTACACTTAACTGTTCTGGGAAATCCAAAGATCAAAATAAACGAAAGTGTAATGTATAATGGGTGAGGCTTATTTTGTTCATGTGAAGAAGAGAGTCTTACATATGTTTTAAATTTGTTAAAACTTACTGTAGGACTAGCAATGCAGTCTTCATGGTTTTCTTGCCTCCAAAGGACGAGAAATTGATCCACCATTTTTATCAATATTGAACAAAAAGAAATACTCAATACTACACAGCCCTGAAGTCTTTGGTTGCTATTCCACTGCCATAAAATATGATTTAGAAATGAAGCATCAAGATCCGTCAAGTTATATAATGTGCTTGGGCAGCCAACCTGGAGCTTTAGTTGCATTTGGTCTTCAAACCAATATTTTTCTGAGCTGTACAACCTTCTTTAAATGTAATAGCCAACAATTGGTGACATGATTTCCCACTATTCTGAGACATGCAATACATGGAAACTCTAATATAAATTAAGACTGTACAGGTAGTCCTTGACTTACAACCATTTGTTTAGTGACTGTTCAAAGTTACAAGAGCATTGAAAAAAGTGACTTATAACCTTTTTTCACACTTACAAACACTGCAGCATCCCCATGGTCACTTGATCAAAATTTGGATGCTTATCAATTGGCATGTATTTATTGCAGTGTCCGGAGGTCATGTGATCATCTTTTGTGACTTTCTGACAAGCAAAATCAATGCCAGATTCATTTAACAATCACATTATTAACTTAACCACTGTGGTGTTTCACTTAACAACTGAGGCACAAATGGTTGTAAAAAAAATGGGACAAAATTCACTTAACAAATATCTTGTTTAACATTGGAAATTTTGGGCTCACTTGTGGTCATAAGTCAAGGACCTTTACATTGCTTTGGACCTAAAGGCAAAAATGTTTTCATAATATATATGCACACTCAGATAATATCTCTCAGCAACTCCTTGAAATAGCTGCATCTCTTCCTAGTATTATGTGGCAACTGCAGCACAATCCCAGGAAAAGACACATTGGTTTAAGTTGCACAGGTGTTAGCTGTGTGTTCTGGCCCAGTACCTTTTTGCATTTGAATCAGGGTATTGTTCTGTGCTTGTGTAAACTCTAAAATAGATTTAACATAGTTTTATAAAGAAACCTCTCCATCACTCTTTTTGTATTGCAAAAAAAACAAAACAAAAAAAACCTCACCATAGGCCTGTCCACTTTACATAATTATCTTGTCCATTGTAGCTTTCAACTCTCTTATGTGCAGCCTTAGTCCCTGACTTAGTGCATTACATGAATGAAGCATTTATACTTAGAGATTTTCACAAGTAAAATAATGCAATAGCAATTTAATATAAATATATAGACACTAGACCAGTGGTTCTCAACCTGTGGGTCGGGACCCCATTTGGGGTCGAATGACCATTTCACGGGGGTCGCCAAACAAGGCTGTCTGCCATTTTTCCCCCTTTTCTTTGGCCACGCCCCTGGCACCCGGTGATGTATAAGTGGTTGGGGGTCATCACAACATGGGGAACTGTATTATGGGGTCACGGCATTAGAAAGGTTGAGAACCACTGCACTAGACTAACTTCTTGTAATATTTTAAAACATTCCTCTGTTAAAATTACATCCATCAGAATCCATCAATGAACATATGTACACACAAACATGAGCAAAAAATCCTTTCCTTCTCTGCACTGTATCCTAAGTTAAGAATATTTTCTTGAGTTTTTTTTCCTGCAATACTGCCATCAATCCATGGAAGGTCAACGTCTGAGCAATCAAGCCTACTTAAATCATCAGCTTACCTTTTCAGCATAAATAAAGTGAACACTGCCAGTATAATAACTATTAAGGCAACAAATGCTTTCATATATCCTAAAAAGTGAAAGAAAAAGAAAAGTTTCTTCAATCCTCAAACAAGATAAAAGTATATTTTAAAATTTTATTATAAGCAGCAGCTTTAATGCTTATTTCTAAAATATAAGCAGCTGTTTTCATGACTGCAGTACTACCTGCATCAAAATAATAATGCTAAATTAATGATTTGTGCATGGTGATTTCATCACACAAATGCCATGATTAAGTTCATGCATCTCAATGTCTAACCCAAATATGTAACTCATGGAATTTGCACAGTATCATCAGTCATTCCACAACTAAGGATGGACATGACAACCTGAGGGATGATATTGTTGGAATTCAGCACCCACCCACCCTCCTATAAGAAGGAAATATTTTGGGGGATATTTAAAAAAAGGCAGATTATATTTCCCCAAAGCAATAATGGAGAAAAATCTTAGACAGAAACCAGTCCCCAGTCTCCTTCCCCCAAGCAGAGGCCAGCTTTTAGAAATGTAGATTTGGGGCCACCTCTTCATAAGCAAAATGCCTTCAGCCAATCCCCAGAGAAGCAGGAAATGACTTTTAGGACATAATAGGATTAACCCATTAGAATACCAAAAAGGGCACACTCAAACTCAGGTCAAAGTACATTGCACAGGAAAAGGAACAACTCCAAACCAAAACCCCAAAGAATGTATAAAAGCCCATCTATCCCATCTCTACTTGGTCAGCTGTCCCAGAACCATGTGCTATAGGTTCCCTTCTTCAATAAACAGAACCTTTCTTCCAAACAGCCTTCATTTTATTTATTCCCGGCTTGGATTGGACCTGATGATTTTTCTTTCAACAATTTGGCACCCAGGATGGAACTTCAAGCTAACCTTACCAAATGACTGGGCCTGGGTAACCCTCCATCTTGCCAGCAGCAGACCCCTTGTGTCTGTGGGTGGGTTTCCCAGATCCTGCCCATTTGGAACAATGGTAGTAAAGGGAATTTTGAGTTTTTGAGCTCAATGGCTGTTTGGAAAGAAGGTGAGTACCTCTAAATTTTAACTTTAAAAGCCCAGGAGGCGAAAGAGACTCTCTCCCCCCCCTCTCTCCCCCCCTCTCTCTCCCTCCCTCCCTCCCTCCCTCTCTCTGTGTATAGGTATGTAGATGGAATGTCTCTCTGCAACAGCTAGATCCTGTCCCCTCTGTTTTCCTAACCTCAAAAAGGATCTGCTCGAACAACAGACTCTGGAAAACAAGGTGGTTTGGCCAGAGTGCAGAACCTTTTGAGAAAGAGAAGAGAAAGTGCATGGTAAGTGAGGGCAAAGGAAAGAAAGGGTTTCACTCCTGGGCAACTAGCTAAGAATCACTGAGCAGAGCCCTATTCTGGAAAGAAGTGCCTGTACTCTGATTAATTTTGGCAGACAGAGTCCTCGCAGGCCATTTGCCTGAAAACCGTAAGGCGGTTACCACAAGTTGGAAGGTACTTCCACCTGTTGGGGGTGGTGTATTCCATGGACAGTGCATTCCGCAGGTTGTGAGGGACCCAGGAGAAAGCCTTGGAGTCTCATCGCGGAAGGTGGAACGAGCATGGGAAGTTCAGGATAAAGGATCCCACCGGGAGGGAGGAAGGGAGGCTAATGGATGCCTGGAGCAGGGTCAAATTGCCCATCCAGGCGGGAATGTGTAAGAAGTGTGCACTCAAGTTATGCAGGAGTGGACTCTGCTCAGGGATGAAGCAGGAAAAAACAATTTGGCTAAATAAAGGTGCGTAAAAGAAAAGTAAAATATAGGAATGTTGATTTCTTCCCCCTCTTCTATGCAACCAGTTAATGTTTCTTAAGATTTTCTTGCCTTTCTAATTAAGTTAACAGTGATTTACATTGAGAATGACCAGACTGTATAAAACTAAGAGTTCTGTTTCCCTTTGCTGTTCTTTCCCTTGTCTTTGTGTGTTTGTGTGTGTCTGTGTGTGTCAAAGTCTTTGTGTGTTAGGTAAATGTAACTGTTAAATGTCCCTAATCTCTAGAGAAAAAATTTTTAAATTCTGCTAGGAAAAGAAAAAAGGAAAAATGTTAAAATAAGCCACCAAAAGGAAAATACCCTCACCCTAGTTTGCCTGACCAACAAAACAGAGTGAAGAGAACTTTGTTTATTTTTATCTCTCTCTCTCTCTCTGTCTCTGTACCTTTAAGAATACCATTTTCTTAAGTTACTTTTCTTATCCTATCAGTGATCAGAGAATTTTTTTTACTATGGAACTAAACCTGGAACATATAAGGATTTTTTCAATCTCTAATGTGGTCTTTTTATTTAAATTGTGCATTGGTAATGCTGGGCAAAATGCTGTCAGGATGTTTAAATATTTTGAAAACAAATATTAAAGGTAGACTCTCCTGTGCCTGGCAAACATTAAAATATTAGGCTTCTAAAATTATTTGAAGCTTTCATCATTCTCAAGCTGCCCAGCTTCTTTTCTCATCTGTTGTGTCCCCATTTTGTCTGTTTATCTGTTTCTTTAACAACTGCAGTATTAATGCCTTTTCAAAACCCTGCCTGCAAGCTATCCACCCCCCATTCCATTCTCCATTTCTTATCCTCTGTTCTCCATTCCTGTGTCAGACAAACAGTGCCTCTTCTACAAAGTGGGGGAAGGGACCCTGTTCTCATGTCTTTCAGCCCTGCACAGATGACTCCACAACCTTTGGAATCAGAATACATAGTGCCAGATATTACCTCCATTCATTTGAGCCAGGGAATTCAGTTTGGATCCAGCCATCCACTAGAAAGTCACATGTAACCAGAGTGGAACAGATCTTCCCAAGTCCTACATCACCCAGATGCCAGTGAAAGCTGCAAAGAAAGGAAGGACTCCTGGACCCATGGGCCCCCATGTGAAGCCTCAGAAGACAACTGGAAAGACTATGGGGGGGGGGGTGGAAACTCACTGTAAGGTTTTCTTTCTTGCCTCATTTGCCTTGTAATTAAGTAGTCAAATGGATTCAGGGAGGGATGGCATTTGGGAATGGTTGGCACAGTAAGTCCTGAACACCTTGGACTTCTGTCTGGTGGGAGGGAAATTTGTCCAGGATGTTTGTACTGCATGTCTTGTAGAAGTAGCTGCACACACACACATATACACACACAAATACACACATGCATACATACACCATTCAGAATTCGAGGCCTAGACTGGATTTCCAGAAGCCAACCGGTTCTCCGAATTCAGGTAAATTTAGCTACCGGTTCTCCCGAACCGGTGTGAACCGGCTGAATCCCACTATTGCTTGGACTCCAAGAAACAATCTTCAACATGAGATGGGGCAGTCCCCTTCCCTTTTTCTCATTGGCTTTTGGCAATAAGGAATCACAACTCATCTCAATTATTTCTGCAAATCACCATAAGATTACTCTGGCTTCCTGTATAGTGACAGAGGACTTTGCCAGGATACAGCTAAGAGAGAAACTGTGTAAATATAATGCAGTTTGGCAAAGCCCATTTTCATTTGCTTTAAAAATATTCTACAAATTTCTGTCATTAAATTGCAATACAAGCAAGGCATTGAGTGTAAATGCTCCTTAGGTGGTTTATAAAGCCGCTTGACTTGTCCACTCCTTGGCCTAACCTGAATGGCTGATTATGGACCTTTATATTAGGTTCACAGTCCTTTAATCTGCTAGACCCAAGAATAATAATATATTTATTCTACAGCATTTCTAAACCAGTTTGAAGAGATTCTGGGGAGTTTAGAGAAAATGGAGATGCTACCTTAACAACATAGCAATTAATTCCTTAAATCAATAAATAGTGCCACATATTTTTTATTTTAAATATTATCCAGAGAGCTCTTTATTATTCGGCAGCAGATAAATGTACAAGTTCTTTAGAATATCATATTCTGTACCCCTTCTGTTCTGGCTAATAAATAATTCAGAACCTTGTTGGCTTAAATGGCACTTTGCTTATATGAAATTGAAGAATCTGTATCATGAATCAGCCACAGCACCTATGAATTTACTGCATTTTTCATTCAATGCTTACAAAGCAAGAAAGAAGAGAAATGAAGCAGGAAGCTTACCAGAGCTGTCTTCAAAACTTATAAAGAAAATCTGATTGTAAAAATTATGATGGAGAATTGCTGGCCCACCTATTATGTCCTTCACCACTATTAACTCCCAGCCCAAGTAAAAATGGGCTTTACCAGACTGAGCTTTTTTTTCTAACTCTGTGCCTGGCAAATAGAGAGCTCTGATGGAGAATATTATCTGCTTCTAAGTAAAACTCTCCTTCATGCCCAATGGGAAAGATCTAAAGCCGTGGTGACGAACCTATGGCATGCGTGCCACAGGAGGCACACAGAGCCGTCTCTGTCGGAACGCACGCCATTGCCACAGAGGGACGCAGGGCCGGGCTGCTCCCCTCCCCCTCTCCATGCATGCGGAGTCCAGGAACAGCTGCGAGAGCTAGGCGAGGTGAGGGAAACCTATAAAAGGAGGTTTTGGTGGGAGAGTGAGTGAGTGGCCTTTGGAAGCGACCAGTGGTGGGTTTCAAATAATTGAAACAACTATTCTCTGCCTCGCCTTCTTTCCATCTTGGTCAGGCTGGGCTGCTCGGGGAGGTCAGCTGGGGTGGGGGCAGGAGCTCCCGGTTGCAGAATTGCTGGAGGTCCCAGCTGGGGGGGCAAAATGATACAATGGGGGGGGCTGCAGGAGTCTTGGACTGGGGTGGGTGCAGGAGGGTGCGGGGTCATCAGGTCCTCGCTGGGGGAAGGCAAGAGGATCTGGCTAGGGGAGGCTGGAGGGTCGGAACACCTCTGTGAAGGAAAGCCACCTCTTCCGCCAGCCAAACCTCTCATCCACACTGCGGTCATGTAAGATTGCACAGAAGGGGTACTAGGCAGGTGGCTGGGGGGTGGCCAGCAGGGGGGAATCAGAGCCATCATCTCCCTTCCGCAGTGTAATCCCATCGGTGTGGGCGGAGAGCCCTGGGACGGCCAAAAAGGAGCTCTCACCCGGTGTGGGCCCTGTACACATGGTGGCTCTGACAAGGGTGGCAGCTGCTGCTTCTCCTGCTCCTCCAAGCCCCTTGATCGGCCAACCACACAGGGAGGCAAGAGGCAGAGGAGGGGCGGCCAGGTGTTTGGAGCTGTCTTGGCTGCTTGCTGGCTACAGCCAGCCCCACCTCAGCAGCCTGACGAGGCAGCGTATTTTGCACACCGGCTGCCCAGCCTCATGGGACAGTGGTGCCTGAGCAACATGCAGGGCTGTGCAGGAGGCAGTGGCAGTGATCCCTGCATTGCCAGGCCCGGCTGGCAGATCTGGAAGTGAAGCTGTGCCATCCATACTTCTGCTGGTGGGGGCAGCGGTGGGGGAAAGTAAGCTATGGCACATGCCCACTCCTCTCCGCTGCCACCCATTGTCCCGCATGCACATCCCAGAGGCGCACACAGGATGTGAGGCAGCAGCGGCAAAGGGTGGGCGCATGCCAGATCCCACCTTCCTCCGCTGCCGCCATTGCCCCCACCAGTGCAAGGATGGGCAGTACAGCTTCGCTTCCAGATCTGCTGCTTGACAGCATTGGCCCCTGCACACAGAGGCCAGTAAGCACATGGGGGCCAATGGTGTTCGTCAGCAGCCACAGCCTACTGGCTGTCCTGCATCATGGCAAACTGGCCACAGAGCCCGATCAGCGCGGGTGGAGGCAGCCCCAGGACAGCCGGAAGCCTTTGCCCAGCCTGGGCCCCATCCGCTCGATGGCTCTGATGGGGGTGGCAGCTGCTGCTGCTTTGACTGGCCAACCACGCAGGGAAGCATGAAGAGATGGAGGGGCAGCCGGTGCGCGAGATCCACTTCCTTGTTGGACTTCCAGCGAGCAGCTGAGGTGGCTCCAGACCCCCGGTTGCCCTTCCACCTTCTCCTGCTTCCCTGCATGATTGGCCGGTCAGAGCAGTAGCAGCTGCCACCCCCATCAGAATCATCGAGCGGATGGGGCCCAGGTTGGGCAAGGGCTTCCGGCCGTCCCGGGGCTGTCTCCCATCCTTGCGCTGGTGGGGGCAATGGCAGCAGCGGGGGAAGGTGGGATCTGGCATGCGCCCACCCTTTGCCGCTGCTGCCTCACATCGTCCTGTGTGTGCCTCTGGGATGTGCATGCGGGACGATGGGTGGCAGCGGAGAGGAGTGGGCATGTGCCATAGCTTACCTTCCCCCACCGCTGCCCCCGGCAGTTTGCCATGATGCAGAACAGCTGGCAGGCTGTGACTGCTGATGGACACCATCTGCCCCCATGCACTCGCTGGCCTCCGTGTGCAGGGGCCGATGGTGTCAGGCAGCAGCTGCTCTGGCCCCTGCCTTGTCTTGCCTTGGCCCAGGGCAATTGGCACCCCGCCCTGCCTCACTTCACCCTGCAGGATAAGCCTCCAGCCCACCACCCCAGCTGCCAGAGACCCCCTGGATCTCCCCCAATCCTGCGCAGCCCCCACAGGTGTCTCTCCTCCCGAGCATCGAGGTGGCCACGCCCACCCCAGCCATGGCCACCCAGTCAGTCGTGGCCACTGCGGCTACGCCTACCCAGCACCCGACAATAAATAAGTGGGTTTGGGGTTGCAGTTTGGGCATTCGGTCTCTAAAAGGTTCACCATCACTGATCTAAGGCATTGACACACCTGGAGATTGTGATGCAGGGTTATGAAGTTTTGCTCTCATTTGCAAAAGTCTATGATGGTCATTTGCCTGTCACTAATAATCTTCCAGAAAAGAAAAATGTTTTAACATCCACTTGCTTACAAACAACAAGAGCAAGGTGCATTTTGAAAGCAAGAGAAAAGGGAGAGGAGAGATGAAGATTTTCCCGTTTTTTAAAAAATGGGGAAGATTGATAAATCCATTCTTTATCTTTTCTAGCTCTGTTTTGCATATTTTTATTTATTTTTCATTTCATAACGAGAAATAACTCAGATATCTAAAAATGACTTCTTCTGGAGAGAATTATGAGTACCAACTCAGAATAAGTTGCATAGTGAGATGACACATGTGCTATCACTGTAGTTTCTATCAAATGAATATTGTTGAACTACTGTGGTAATTACTTACTTGGTACAGCTTTCTTATAGCATGTCTCTTTGTGGTAACAACATCCTAGTTCTGTGCACTCAATCCTGGATACATTTGTCTGGCATACTTCATAAAAAGGAAGTTCACATACTTCAAAAAACAGAAATACCCAAAGTTATATATATAAAAACTTCACAATAAATTGAAATCATGAGATCTATCAAGCCAATTCTAAACTATGTGTCATTTTTATTATGAATTATATTCAATAACCATAAAAACTATGAGCTTTCAGTAAAAATGAATACATTAGGATTCTCACAGAACTATTGAAGGAGAAACAATAGCTATTAAGCAGAAGGCCATTAATATATACAGTTCATGAGACAACTGTGGTGCAAGTGTTTACTGATTGTCTAAATGTAGAATATTCCACATTTTCCCCATGAGTTCAAGGCAGCATATATATCACTCCCTCCTCTGACTTTTTCCCACAATTAAGTTGTATACTATCAAGAGAGCACAAGAAGCAGGAACATTAAACTGAGCCCAAATCATACCATGAGATTCTATGGCTAAAGGTAGGTTTGAATTTAAGTTACCCATGTTCAACAATTCACTGTCCAACCCAGACTCCTCCTGGACTCATATCTCTTGCTTGAGGTACAGAGAGCTGGTGTAGCTGGGGGATGAGCTTTGCACAATTTCATTTTGTGCACCAATTGTGTCCCTTCCTGAACCAGAAGGCCCTGCTAACAGTCATTCATCCCTTAATCACCTGCTGGTTGCTCTACATGGGTCTGTCATGGAAAACCATCCTGAAGCTACAGTTGGTTCAGAATACAGTGGAATTAATTTTGGATGTTTCTCTCTCTGTTTATATGACGCAACTACTCCACACGTTGCACTGACTCCCAATTGGTTTCCGGGTACAATTCATGATGCTAATTATCACCTTTAAGGCTACCTGTGCCATAGAACCAGGTTACGTGAGGGACTGCCCTCTTCCAGGGTTTTTGCCTGCCCTATATGCTCTAATAGAGAGGGTGCAATTCAGTCTTTTCATTAAAACAATATTATCTGTCCCAAAAAGATGTACTCTCTGTGCAGAACAATTTCCAGAGCTTGGGGAAGGAACTTAGCAGAATAGGCTGTAGGCTTACTTTTTCAGAGGTTTTACCAGTGTATAAGGAGCAAAATGGAAAAGGCCAGTGTATAGCACAATTCAATATGTGGCTAAAGAAGTGCTGTAAAGGGGAAGGCTTTGGATATATTAGTCACGATATCTGTAGCTGGTCCAATAAAAAGATGTACAAAAGAGATGGTTTGCATCCATCAAAGAAAGGGACTGAGTTACTTGGCTATAAATTCACAGATTTTCTAGAGGAAAATTTAAGGTAAACAGCGGGGACAGTGAGTTAATTGATACAGAACAACCCTGTCCACGACAATCTAAAAATTATAGGGCTATCAGTGCATGTAACATAGATGTGTGTGTGGACAAGAATACCAACCTTGCTGTCAAGCAAAATCAAGCCTCTAATAGTGAGTGCCACACAAAGTGCACTAACCAAATAGGTGGTAAGACAATAGGGGAACTCAGGCACCACATAGGTTATGTAGAAAGTAAACACAGGGCCAGTCATAAAGGACTCAAATGTCTATACACCAATGTACAGAGTGTGAACAGCAAACAGGGTGAACTAGAAATTCAGGTTAATGAGGGCAAATACGATATTGTTGCCATTACGGAAACATGGTGGGATGAAACCCACACATGGAACATACAGATAGGGGGATTTAAATTATTTAAAAGGAACAGACCAAATAAAAGAGGAGGTGGAGTTGCTCTCTATATAAGAAATAACTACATCTCTACAGAAATAGAGCACAAAAGTGATAAAAACTGTCTTGAATGCGTTTGGGTCAATATAAAAGGGGGGGAAATGAAATTGCCGTAGGTGTATACTACAGGCCACCCAACCAAACAAAGGAAATAGATGAACTTTTTGCTAGTCAGCTAACTAAGGTATGTAGGAAGCACATCACAATAGTAATGGAGGACTTTAACTACCCTGACATCAACTGGGAGACAAACTCTGCACCAAGTGGAAGATCAAACAGGTTCCTGGCAAACCTAGCAGACAACCAAAAAGCAGAGAAGGCAACTAGGGGATTAGCCATTTTGGATTTAATTCTCGCTAACGGAGATGAAATGATATAAGGTGTTGAAGCCATAGGAACCTTGGGAGGAAGTGATCATACAATATTGGAATTCCACATTATGGAAGCACAAGCAATAGAACACAGTCAAACTAGAGTCTTGGACTTCAAGAGAGCTAATTTCAATAAACTTAGAGAGGGCTTGGGAAGGATTTCATGGATGAGAATCCTCAAGGGGAAAACAACTCAAGAAGCTTGGGAAATTTTGAAAAATGAGATGATAAAAGCCCAGTCTAGCACAAAACCAACAAAGAGGAAAAATAACAGCTCTCAAAAGAAACCAGCATGGCTGCATAAAGAATTCTCTGACAAATTAAAAGATAAAAAGGATAAGTATAGAAAGTGGAAAGAGGGGCACATAACTAAGTCAGAATATCAGCAAATAGCCCGAGCCTCCAAAGATGAAATGAGGAAAGCCAAGGCTCAAATTGAACTAAGGCTTGCGACCAAAGTCAAAAATAACAAAAAAAAACCTTCTTTCAATATGTAAAAAACAAGAAAAAAGTGAAGGAAATGATTGGTCCATTAGTGGGTGAAAGTGCCAAGAAGGTGACAAGCAACAGGGAGAAAGCAGAATTATTTAACTCGTTTTTTGCATCTGTCTTTACACAAAGGGAAAAAATAGACCAACCTATCAAAAATAGTGCCATAAAAAACAGAATAGAAACACAAGTTAAGATAGGCAAGAAAATGGTAAGGGAGCACCTGAGCAGGCTAGATGAGTTCAAATCACCAGGACCACTGGTGATCTCAGAACCACTGGTGATCTCAGAACCACTGAATTATATTTTTCAAAGATCCTGGCGCACAGGGGAATTACCAGAGGACTGGAAAAGAGCTGATGTAGTTCCCATCTTCAAAAAAGGGAAAAAAATGAACCCAGGAAATTACAGACCTATCAGCCTGACCTCAATACCTGGAAAAGATAATCAAACAACGAATCAGCGAACACCTAGAGGCAAAGTCATTACTAAAACCCAACATGGGTTTGTCAAAAATAGATCATGCCAGACAAATCTTATTGCATTCTTTGACCAAGTGACAAAATTAATGGATCAGAGGAATGCTGTAGATATAATTTACTTGGACTTCAGTAAGGCATTTGATAAAGTAGACCACAACGTACTACTTGATAAGATAGAAAAATGTGGGGTAGACAGCACCACCACCAGATGGATCCATAGCTGGCTGACTGGTCATACTCAGCATGTGGTCCTCAATGGAACCACATCTCCATGGAGGGAAGTGTGTAGTGGGCTGCCCCAGGGCTCTGTTCTGGGCCCAGTGCTTTTCAACATCTTTATCAACGATTTGGACGAGCGGATAGATGGAGAACTCATCAAATTTGCAGACGACACCAAGCTGGCAGGAATAGCCAACAATCCAGAAGACAGGCTTAAGATACAGAAGGATCTGGACAGATTTGAACACTGGGCACTATCTAACAAAATGAAATTCAATGGTGAAAAAAATAAGGTTCTACATTTAGGCAAGAAAAACCAAATGTACAGGTATAGTATAGGAGGTACCTTGCTCAGTAGTAGCAACTGTGAGAGGGATCTCGTAGTCCTAGTGGATAATCACTTAAATATGAGCCAGCAGTGTGCTGCAGCTGCCAAAAAAGCCAACACAGTGCTGGGCTGCATTAACAGAGGGATAGAATCAAGATCACGTGAAGTATTAATACCACTTTACAATGCCTTGGTAAGGTCACACTTGGAATACTGCAACCAGTTTTGGTCACCACGATGTAAAAAAGATGCTGAGACTCTAGAAAGAGTACAGAGAAGAGCAATAAAGATGATTAGGGGACTGGAGGCTAAAGCATATAAGGAACGGCTGCTGGAATTGGGTATGTCTAGTTTAATGAAGAGAAGGACGAGGGGGGACATGATAGCAGTGTTCCAATATCTCAGGGGCTGCCATAAAGAAGAGGGAATTAAGCTATTTTCCAAAGCACCTGAAGGCAGGACAAGAAGCAAAGGGTGGAAACTAATCAAGGAGAGAAGCAACCTAGAACTAAGGAGAAACTTCCTGACAGTTAGAACAATTAACCAATAGAACAACCTGCCTCAAGAAGCGGTGAATGCTCCAACACTGGAAGTTTTTAAGAAGAGACTGGACAGCCATTTGTCCGAAATGGTGTAGGGTTTCCTGCCTGAGCAGGGGGTTGGACTAGATGACCTCCAAGGTCCCTTCCAACTTTACTATATTATTATTATTATTATTATTATTATTATTATTATTATTATTATTATTTTGAAGGATCCAGAAGGTATGAATGTTTAGTGATGGTCCCTATCTTATGAAACTACCTTTTTCTTGACTTATGGTTGGCCCTGATCCTACTTTTCTTTAGAAAGATATCAAGATCTTTTAGTTATGATGGCCATTTTTCCTTTCAAAGCTAAAGCATGACAAAGCCCTACTATCTAGAGCAGCGGTTCTCAACCTATGGGTCGCGACCCCATTTGGGGTCGATAAACCATTTTACAGGGGTCGCCAAACAATGCGATCCGCCATTTCCCCCCCTCAGGGGGCGGCGCCACGCATGCGCGCTGCGCATGGGGGCAGCACCACGCATGCGCGCCGCACCACGCATGCGCAGCACATTCGTGTGACGGGGTCGCCGTCACACGAACGTCGAGAAACGCTGATCTAGAGGCAGCTGCAAAAGGTGTCTGCAGCAATAGTCACTTGGATTCAAAATGGTATATACAATCAGACAAAATCCTGGCCTACCTTTTCTGAAGGATATTTAAGTATTATATTTTTTTGCAATCAAGATAGGTTATACAATTATTTCAGTTACATATTTGCTAAATTTTATTCTATTATTATTACTATATTAGGTATGTTGTAAACTGCCCAGAATCCAGCTGGATTGAAGTGATGAATAAATTTCAGAGAGAAAAAAGAGAGAGAGTGGATCTGCATCTTCAACACTTTTGATTTCAGTGACTGTTAAGAGTTCCAAATTATTAGCCAGTAGAACAATGGTGGTTAAGACAATACAATAAAATTTCACTTGAAATCAGAGAGGAATGGACATAATCTAAATTTTATGTAGTATCTGCTTTAAAATATTTAGTGTACCCATAACACTATTTAACATAGTGTACCCATAACACCTTAACAAAATTTAAGGCCAGAACTCTTAAGAGGAACATACATTTAGAGCTGTGTAATTTCAATTGCCTCCTTATTGTTAAACTTGTAAGAATTTGTGCGCTCTTCCTATTTTCAAAGAGCTTCATCTTACTTTTGGTAATTCAGATTTTTAGGTAATTACCACCAGAGAGCGCTCCTCAGCAGTTTATAATATCTGAAGAATTTAGTCTACAGATCCTAACTACTCAAAGGGTGTCAATGTTAAAAATGATGGGAAACTCTTCTGAAATCATTATTCATAGAGCAACTAAGATCATAGCAATTTCATAGAATACATACAATATGTTAGAAGTAAATAAAATGTTGCTGGGAAACAACTTACATTTCAAACTATAAATTGCCAAAAGCAGATGCAAACCTTTCACTGATATACAGATAGTCCTTGACTTACAACCATTTATTTAGTGACTGTTCAAAGTTACAATGGCACTGAAAAAAGTGACTTATGACATTTTTCACATTTACAACCATTGCAGCATCCCCATAGTCATGTGATCAAAATTCAGAAGAAGCTTGGCAACTGGCATATATTTATGTTGGTCTCAGTGTCCCAGGGGCATGTGATTGATCACCTTTTGTGATCTTCTGACGAGCAAAGTCAATGGGGAAGCCAGATTCACTTAACAGCTGTAACAGCTTTCCCTGAAGCCAGCTCAGACAATGAAAAAAAGCTGACTCTGGGGACTTCAGAGGGGGGCATGGGGGACAGTCAGAAAGACACCAAGGTCTCTGAGCAGGGACTGAATGGGTCAGGGGAAGAGGAGAGGCCAGGAACCTCAGAGAGGGCATCAGGGAACAACTGGATGATCACCAGGCTGAAGAAGAAAGGGGAGAGACGCAGCTGCAGCCAGAGGGTTCAGGACCCAGTTAGAAATACCGGGCAGTGAGAGAACACAGCTGCAGCTAGTCAGTGGAGGAGGAACTGCCTCCAACGCCATTCGCAGGGCCAAATGGAGGGAGCTAGGGGAGGATGAAAAGACAAAGGTGTCAGACTGGAGTGTCTCCCACCTCCAACGGAGGCTGGCAAGGCTACTTGCAAAAAGGCTAATGGGCTTACACAGGCTGGCACATGGAGCAGAGACACTGGAGACAACTTATCTGTTTCCTGTTGTTCATGTGTTCTGCCTTTGTGACTCCTGCTTCCAGACCTGTGCCTTGACCTTGTGACTGGACTTTGGACTTTGCATCTCAGATTTTGGACTTGAACTTTGGGTTCATGTATTGTGCTCCGACTGTGGACTTGTATCTGGATTTATTCTTTGCCCTAAGACTTGAGGTTGTTTAGGACTTGGGTTCATTGGGTGTTGTGTTTGTTTGTTGGGATGAGCCTTGAGAAACAATATTAGGGCCTTGCAAAGCCTCAATAAAGACTTCAAACTCTTGTGGTGTGGGCATGTGTGAGCGGGACAGGACAACAACTGTGTTGCGGTTGTTAAATAATAACAATTGACAGTTGTTAAATTCACTTAACAATTGTCTTGCTTAACAATGGAAATTTTGGGCTCAGTTTGGTCATAAGTTGAAGACTATCTCTAAACAATGAAAACAGTTGTGGAAGACATTCCAGTCTGACAGCTTTGTCTTTTCATCTTCCTCTAGCTTTAGCTGAATATTTTTTTCTCTCTGGATGGGGGAAAAGGGAGAATCCCCAGGCAGTGAGCTATACTGATGAAAGCAAATGCTTCTTTTCAGTGAGATATATTCAATCAGGCAAATTTGTTCTACCTAGTAGCACTCCAAGGCTTAATTTTTAAGAAATTTTTAATTCTTTGGTTTTGTTTAATGTAAGAGTAAAGAACAAAATCCAAATGAATACCTGTATCATGAGAGCAATATAAAACAAACCAATCATATACATGAAATAGTTTCATCAAAACAGGTTCAAGCCGCTAGGAAGATTCAACAATCTATACATGAACAAGCAGCTATTACTCTATATTACAAGTTACAAATTACAGATAAATATAACCTAGTCAATGAAGACAGAAATATTCTTACCAAAGGTAACTTCTTGCCAAATTTCTGTAGGTAAGAAAGGCAAAACAATCCTTATCAAGTGCTTTTTGTAAAATACTTGTAGGTGGGTCTAGCACAGAGTAAATTGGTGCATGATTACCCATTTTCTTTGACACATTAGGCAAAATAAGACCACAATAGGAAGAAAGTGCTAGTATTGCTCTAGCCATTGTGCTAGTGTCAGTCTCAATCTTGATAGACCCTCCATACTGGCATTTATGTAAAACATACTCAAGCCCAGAATGTCAAAGAAAAACTAACATATAAATCAATTAGCTTTTCATTTTAGCTTTAGAAAGCTCTTCTTAGCTTTCTAAATGTATTAACAAAATACATTTTAATAATATATCTCTACATACTTTCAAGTTTCTCACTGAAATACAATTACTTTAAAAAGTTTTATTATTTCTTGGAACCTAAAGAAAAAATAAATCATGCATTCTCCATATATGTGAAGAATAATCATATTTAGAGTTTTTGAACTCCTACAAAAATGGACTAATTATTTAAGAGGACTAGTGTTAATAACAGAATGGCAAGCATATGAAGCTGGGACAAGAGTGTTTACTAACAGGGGTACAGCATAACATTTGGCACATAATGTAAGTGAAATAATGTAAGTAATATATCCTTGTTGAACCCAGATGAGCTTATTTCTTATTTTGTATATAAAAGAAATAAAGCTAATGGGTTTGGCCATATAACTTTAATTTATTGCAAGGCAGCATGGCATTTTATGAGTGTTCTTGCACAATACTTCATGCTATTTTATACACACAAACCAATTAAATACTATTTTTATATTTCTTCATAGCGTTATATGAAATGTTTGAAAGAAGGTGTGTTAACATAAAAAAGCACTTTGCAAGACTGGCAAGGCTGCTTTTATTTTTGCTTTATTTATCAAATTTGTAAGGTCACTGACTCTATAGCAACTCTGTGAATCAAATAATATTAAAAGCAAATTGATAATAACAGGAAAATAATAGCTATGTGGTAGAAATAAAATCAGCATCATCTTAAAGGTACAATTTCACAAGGAGCTCACTACATAACCTAATTCAAAAAATCTACCTGAAGTAAGAGCAGTTTAAGGACCCATTTGAGCAAACAGAGTAGGGCAATATCTCTTTAGGGATGCTGCCTGGAGGTCAGACAATTTGACAGAAGACTCATTTTCTGAGTCGGTTCGGATTATGCTGATTAAACAGTCTGCATTGAAGAGGAGGGTAGAGCTATAGGAGACAGTCTTTCAGCTACCTATACGGTGAAGCGTTTTGTAGATAATAACCAGTGCCTGGAATTGTAGCCAGTTTGCTGATAGTCTGTGCACATCCATGTCCATAACTGCCTGAAATCAATCCCAAATATAGAGCATTTATCCCAAAGCAAGAGTGACTGTACAGATTGGCCACCTACTCCAGAAATGGCTCCAATAGGAATACAAGATTAATCTTACAAATGCCTTCCTTCCTGGCCACAGCAGTCACCTGGTCCTCAAGCAAGTTTTAACTGCAGGAAAAATCTCAAGTTGTACACTAGTCCCAAATAGGGAAATACAACTCATTCAGGATAAAAGACAGCAAGCCTCCACTCCCAGATGGTCCAAATACGCACAACCAATTGGTCTTGCTGGAGCTGAGGCCCAGTATATTCCTCTTTATCTAGATTCTCACAGCCTCCAAACACAGAGACAACTCATTTGGCCTGGAATCAAGATGTACAGCTTGAACCACTGAATGACTTCATCCAATGAGTAGGAAACTGCATGGCATCCCACACATCAAGGGGCTCGGGTTCAACCTCTTCCCTTCTCTGGCAACACTAAATGGAATAGAACAGAGAGTGATGAAAATACAATGCATCCCTCTCCTAATTCCTGTTGATGAACCAGAAGGATACCATGGCCACTGATATGAAAAACCATTGAAATCAAGGACAGCTATATCACCCTTGTCCCAGCTCCAAGGGTCATCTAGTGTGACCAATGCTATCTTTATGCTGTATCTCACTATGTCCCAGTATAGTATCACCAGTATTCTGCTACCTGAATGAAAAGATCCAGATAATTCATTTATTATAAATCCCTTTAAACCTGTATCACCCTAATAACCTTCCCTATAAAGTTTTACTGCAAGTTGTCCAGAACTGTTGAATCCAGCAACAGGTTCTTAAGATACTGCCATATCCTTCAAAATCCAAATCTCCTTCAGCAAAGCCAATACTAATAATGCATGGACCCAACTATACACCACCTTCTGGAAAGCAGGAAATCTGCCCCAAGTTGTCTGTGTTTGTATAGGTAGACACCACTTCAGCTGGACTTCCAGCAAAATAAAGTCCCTGTAAATTTTATTTGTGCTGCAAACTGAGAAGAGTTTTCAAAACAGCCACACAAATTTTACAAAGATTGCAGCTCTTTGAACCCTTCAATGATAGTGCTGTTTGCCTCAACATGCTTTGCAAACCATCTCTTTGTAATACTTTAGACTTCATAATGAGTATTCATCTATCACAGTATCAACAGTTATCAGCTTCAGACTTACCTGCAAATCCATAACGAAGAAAATTACTTCTTTTTTCCAGCTGAAGAACCCTTGATGGTGCCTGTGTTGCATTGTTGAACTTAAAGGACAATTTAATGCATGCACCTGAAGGAAGCCATAATAGGTAAGGTACTAGAAAAATAAACTTTTGATTCTGGTTCTGTTTTTCTATGCATTTCATTAATGAGGTTATTGAGATCAATCTATAAAAAATACCTAATATAGCTGTGAATAAAAAGAGAAATGGGGAGGAGGGACAGAGTAGCCAGCAGCTTGCTTTCAGAAAGACTTGGCAAAATTAGTATTTCCATTTACAAGTAGTAAGTCAATCTAAGAAATATAGCCATACAATTGGCTCATCAACTCAGTTTACCTCTCCTACTATGGTGAGGAACAGAAAATATAATTGTGACATCACAGTTCTGTTTTGTGTTGTCATTAAACTGGTCACCAAGGGAACTACTTATTGAGAGGACAGAGACAAGGGGAAAAATGGAAAACAGAAAGGAAAGAGGGTGTGAAAATGTCTGGTTTACTGCATTCTCCCACAGAAAGATGTAGAATGCAATGTGCTACAATTAGAAGTCTCTTCTGAATATATCAGCTGACAGATGACTAAGGAAAAGAGCAGAACTGCAAACAGGTAGGGTGAGAGTCAAATAACCTCAGACCAGAATTGAAATCACATACCACATTCCCACTGCTAGTGCAAAGGCGTAAAGACTTTTATTCTCTCAGCAGTTTAAACATGAGACTTCTTCCTTCTGCTTTCTCAAATTAACAGGTACTTAGCACCATGCTTGGAGATCTTGAAATCAAATGATATTATTCTACATTTAAATAGCAGCAACCACCTCTGGCTTGGGAACCATTGATTCCAATCTTGCCCACCTTAAACTTCACACGTTTTGACAGAAACTAATTATCCTTCAGACGACTTCATTGCTGAGGTATTGATCCAGGACATTACTGAAAATATTGCTGATGTTGTCTAATTAGCAATAGAATAATTTGAGTTAAGTTGAGCTTGAAATATTTTGCACACCGGTGGGACCAAGAACAAGAACCTTGAAGGAAATTTCATGGTAGATGAATCCTAGCCATGTGCAATCTGTTAGACTCAAACTGTGCTTTATATGGATCTAAGAACTTCATGATTTTTTTTCCTCCAGATAAATAATTGAGATTGTTGGAGGATAAGATTTCTATTTTCTTTCTTGTTCAGCTCTGACTACACAGCATCAGTGATAAGAGACGCTTTGTTCAAAGGGCAAAAATAGTAAAGTCCAGGAGTTAGGAAAAACAGGAGTTAGGTCAAGAGATAAAGTTGTTTCAACTTTCTGAGAATCTTAAATATAGTTGATATAGCACTTATTAATGTCTTAATTTCTGAAAGCAAAGGTACTAGTTGAGCTTTCAATCCATTGAAAGTCTATCTATTAAACATGGGATAATTCTGTCCAATAAAAGAAATATAAACATAGAGCATTTTATAGAATTAGAAGTTTAACTGTTCAGGCTTTTCTGTAACTTTTAAGCATATTTTGTAAAAGGAATGGGTACAAATACCAATGTGGTTTCAAATGAGTGAAATTCAATGATCCCTTATAAAATGTACACACTGCACGTATCAACATAATTAACATTATTTGAATAGTAATGCATATCTGTTTCATTTAATAGTAAAGCATCTTATCAATGTTATAAAAAGCTTTTTGAAGAGAACCTGTTTTGCTTATTATAAATATTGAGAAACTTGCATCTCAAGGATTACCTATACAATGAAGGATAATTTTTCCACCAACAGATTAGTTGGTCTCTATAGATGTCATTTTGGACACTAATATTTATTTCAGATAAAGAATATTTTTATCTCGAGATTTTATACACAAATGTCAATTATTATAACTTTTGCTCCACATTGTTCTTTTTGTCTTGCATCTTCAATGTTGTCATTATCATCATCATCACCAAATCCATTGAAGCTTAGACAAAATTTCTCAGCATCTATGTTATATGGCGCATAATTAATGGGGGTATAAACAATGAATATTAATACAGGATCAGAAAAAGTCTTATGGATTTAGAAATGGGACTAAACTCTTATAGATCTGCTAAATACAGATGCTGAATCTAGGTGCCTTGAAGCAATTTGCAACTGATTTTGTATTTATTCAAGACAGAGCGAAGAACTTTAACATAATTACAGGTAGTACTCAACTTATGACCATTTATTTAAAGATGGTTCAAAGTTATGAAGGTATTGGAAAAAGTGACATATGACGCATTCTTGAAGTTACGATCTTTGCATCACCCCTATGGTCCTATCATAGCAATATGGATGCTTAACAACCAGCTTGCATTTTCAATGGTTAGAGTGCTTGCAGCCAGGTGATTACAATTTGCAATCGTTCTAGCTGCTTCCAACAGGCAAAGTCAATTGGGAAAGCTGGATTCACTTAATGGCCACACCATTCACTTAACAACCACATGATTCGCTTAACAACCTTGGTAAAAATGGTCATAAAATCCACTCCAGTCATATAATGACTTGCTTAATAAATACACTCCTTAGTGACCAAAATTCCAATCCCAGCTGCAATCATAAGTCAAAGATTAACTGTAATTGTTATTAAAATTGATTTCTTACGTTGCATATGAGGTACAGCAGCAGCATCAAAAAGGGGAAAAATGATAATGTCAACGCTGCTAATATTGAATATTCTTGCTTTGACAAAATATGCAGAACTGTCTGGTACTTTTAGAGTTAATTCAGATGATGCTGGGAGAGAGAAGAAAGAATGTGATAGAGTAATTACCAGGGCTTCAGAAGGAAGTGAACCTTTGCCCCCCAGGCTGGTTGGACAACGTGAATTATGACAGCAAAAGAGGAAGGGAAAATGCTAGCAAAATAACTGCTCTGGGGTGGAGATTTCAGATCTTGACATCCATCCATGCTGTGCCGACATTCTGTTACACTGTAATAAAGGCTTTTTAGGATAAACAATGCCTGGAAGTTCTTTGCAGTGTTTCATTAGTCGGAACCTTGACAGATAATTTATATAAAACAAATTGAAGAGGAGAATTTGATGATTAACCAATTTTCACTTAGTTTGGCGATTTTCTGATTATCTCATTAATTGGGTCAGCTATTGCTGGGGCTTCTATTTCCAGGGCCTCTAACCCTGTCTTTGAAGGAAATTGGACAGTTCCCACATAACTGTAACATTCACCTTAATTTTATTTTTAAAATTAAGGTTGAATAAGCTATTTTATAAAATAAGAATCCACCTATGCCCTCTGCCATGACAGCAGTCTTGACAATTTTCAGTAAATATTTCAAGATGTCATCACTGAGAAATAATACACAGCTCAAATTTTAATGCTTCATGAATGGCGGAGACATGTTTTACTATTTTGCTGAATACAAGAATTGTACAATTATAAATTATAACAAACACAGAACTGCCCTTCTAATATTATGGCCATGCTGAATTCTCACCCTCCCCCCCCATTACATGAAGCAATTTAAAATCTATAATGTGATATAAATATGATAAAGATTTCCCCTACCCTTGGTCATTTAGCTGAATTTTGAAGGTTTTTCCCTATTCCAGGCTGAAGATAACAGAATTTTCTGAGCTAAAGATGTGGAATGTAAAAAAATAAAAATGTAAAAAAGACTGGTAGGGAAGGAGAATATGTTTCTCTCCCCATAATATGAAATCCAATACTGAGAGACTGGCTTTATTTTAAAAGAATTGATTTATTCCCCTTTTTTTTCAGGGCCATCACACTTCTAAGCAGAATATAAGAGTTTTATACTATCTAATAAGCAGGAAGAGAATTGAAAATAAGAAAGCTGCTTTTAGCACACATACAGTTTGTGCATTATTCTTAGTATATACCTGCCTAAATTCAGCAGAAAGTTATTCTTAAAATACTGTAGCTAGGTTTAGGTTTTCATTAATTGACTTCAAATACCAAATATCTTGAAAAAGTATGTGCAAACCTATTTGGAACTTTATATTACATGACCAAAATGTAATTTAAAAGAATCCATATGTACTTTCCTATATCTACATACATTTCAAACAACCAACATAAAGTTACAGACACGGCTGGTTGCTATAAATAGAATGGAAGTCAGGGGACTATTATTTTGTTTAAATTGTGGAAGGAAAAAAAAGATTATATTTACACAGTAAAATAAGGTTTAAGATTTGTCTCTAGAGCACTACAGACATATGTTAACCTAAAACTTGCTATGTTCATGCTAAAAAAATAAATAATACATTTATTTCCCAAAACAAACTCACACATCATTGACTTCTCTTTTGATAACAGTACCGAGTGATTCATTAGAACATTCGCTAGTTGTTTAATATATGCACAGCTACTGCAAACTAATATATAAATTATCTAAGAACTAGCCACTAAAATAAGAGCAAGCACATTTGACTTAACCTGACTATTCTGCATTTTAACATGCCGAAAAGAAACATATAAGCTTTGATTTTTAAAATATTTACCTTTAATATGAAATGATGTCAATTGACAGTTTACTGCATTGACAGTCGGTAGTTTTAAAATTTATGTTAAAATGGTGTCTGAAGGTTTAAACAGACATAAATAAATTTAATTAAATTATTAAAATAGACTGAATACTGGGAAATATGCTGGGAATTACCAAAAATGTTTTCTATCTGATGCCTGAGAATGAAAAATTCAAAACAATTCATCTACTAGTATATCATTTTCAGTGAATGCTAGGAGCATAGCATCAGCCACTGCTATGTTTGCTGCTTACAGGAAGACAATAGAATACTATATCAGTCCTGATACATTGATCACATACACGTTCAAAATTACAAATATTTACAAGAGGGGCATGGATTTCTTAGCCAACTGCTGCAATTGCTGCAAAATGAGGCAGTTTAAATGGAAATAAGTAAAGATAGGTCAAGTTCAGGATCCACACTATCTGCACTTAAGTAAAGACAGCTTCATAAATGGACTGAATTTTATTATATATATAAACATAATTCAATCCAGTTAAATCCTGATTTGTAGTGCTCTATACGCAACACTGACTAAATATCAGAAGGCTTCCACAATTAGATTTGACAACTGGTCTTTCAATAGAAAGAAAAAAATCAATAATATATATATATATTTTATAAATTGGTTTCATCCCAAGAAGGATCGTTCATACTCTTTAGAACTTTCCGGACAAGCTTTTCAAGCTCCTTGCGAGCTCTTTGCTCTTCTTCCAGTGATTTCTTCATCTTTTTATTATCCTGACAAAAAAAAACCGCACCAAAATACATTATGACAATTTGCCTTAAATGACTAAAACATAATTTTCTACAATGCTTCTACAATGAGGAGACCTTCAGAGTATATTGCTATAGATTTGTGCTCTCTTGAAATAATAGCTTGGGGTTTAATTTATCAATAAAGAAAACGTGTTTGTTTTGCTCTGAGCTCAGCATAATATTTTCATCTTGTAAAATCCTCTAAAAATATTATAAATGCAGATACAAATCATATTTAGGAAAAGAATTAACTTTCTTATTAGGAGGAGCTCCAGTTGATGTTTGATAGATGCAAACTAAGAAATAAGATGAAACATGGTGAAATATGGAATCAAAGTTATAAAGTAATTCTCATGTTCATGATTCTACTAATTTACAAAATAATTATCCAGACTTTTCTTGTGAGATAAACACAATTACTAGCTGAAATTAGAGGTTTTAAAGAAAGATTCCTCCATAGCTAAACTCAGAAGCAGTACATTGTGGCAGGTGTTTCAACCTCTGATGGGCTCTCACCAGTGGATTTTTCTTAAAACTGGAATTAATGTAGTCTGTGCAGATTGCATGTCTACCTTTGCCTTTTACCTAACATGTGCTCAAGGAAAGATATTTCTTCCTCCTCAAATAATATTTCCTGCTGCCTTATATTAGTACTACATTCCGACTTGCTGACTCACCCCAATCTCTTCACTGAGTTTTAAGGGCCTTCACTGAGCTTTGTAGCTGTGTTGCTCTGTATCAGATCAGTCTCCGATAATCCCTATCTCATCCATGATCTAATATTCTGATAGATATATGTGAGATTCTACATGAATTTGAGCCTCAGAGATCAGTTGGAGTTGCTGCTGCTGCTGCTACTGAGTAACAACTTTCCTGCTTGTGTTGCTTGATGCTATATCTGGTTCGGCAGTGCAATTTACTAGGCTTAAGATATTGGGGGACATCATCCAGCTTTTCATAAGTACAGACTTGGAGGCAGACTAAGAGTTCATGCTCTCAGAGCAACTATGAACCTGATTCAGTTTACTGAGGGTCCAATCCACACAACAGGCCTCCTGTTAGACCTGAGTTTCATCTCTTTATCAGTCCCTTGTAATGGAAGAATCACTCCCTGTTGACCTTGAAGTCTTCCCTGGCTACTTTTCACCACAGGGAATTAGGAGTAATTGATCTGTCCCAGAGGTGAAATGTGCCTAATAGGATTTCCAAGGAAATTTGTTGCTGAGGCTTTGATGTATAGTCCAAGTCAGGTCTTAGTGGCTGGATGGAATGATAGGGAGATGACAGTCTTAAACTGGATTGTGCTTGGGAGGATTCTCTCTGCAGAAGCTACAATTGTTACAGAATGCAATGGTGCAGATAATTATGAGTGCACCCAAGTGCACACATGTAGTACCACTATTATACAAATGTGTTGGTTCCAAATAAAAATTCCAGATGTAATTTAAAGTGCTGGTTATCACTAATGAAGTCTGACATAACACCAGATCAAGTTATTTGCAGGACTGCCTTTCCACAACAATATCAGCCAACCTACTTCTCTAAAACAGTACCATTCCTTTTTTGTGGAGCACCTGTCCTTTGGAATGATCTCTCCCTCTTCTATTTAAGCTTGTTCCTGAACCTGTTGGCCTTTGGAAAGGCATTAAAAAACCCATCTCTTTCCTTGGGCCACGGGGTCAGGATGATGAGAGTCTCCATCTGGAGGAAATTAATAACTGAGTTGCAAAGATTTCTTTCATTTTAACAGAATTGTCTACCTATATTTGTTTATTTTTGGTTTTCTGTAAACAGTCCAAAATCACAGTTGGGTGATCATATAAATTTTATAAATATTCAATTCATATTTTTATTTATAAACTACAAACACACACACACACACACACACACAAACACATAACTTAAATGGCCAAGATTTGTAATATTAGATTGGATTACCTGTACAATCAATTGTGCATGAAAGTTACTTAACTTCTATTTCATTACAGTACTAATACTACAGTACATATTGATTCTACCACCAGTTCTGAAGCACACTTCTAAAAAAAACCCACCCTGTTTTTGACATAATTACCATATTCTATTATTCTCAATTGTGAAATATAGTATGTTTTACCAACCTGTCTTAATTCCTGTACTTCATCCTTCAATGCATATACTGTGTCAACAAGACTTCTAAAACAGAAAATTAAAATAAAATTTCACAAAATGTAAATAAATCTATATAAAAATCATATTGATGCAAGTGATTTTACATCAAAAACTATATAATATGGGGTGAAAAAGATATAGAAAAAACTATTGAACCTGCCCATTTGCAGTAAATTTTGGGCTTTTCTGCTATTTCTTTAAGTAAGACTTTTGGAGGCATGGGAGGGGAAGTAAGCTTACTAAGCTAATTACTATAAAGTAACTTGGATTAGGGAGGGATCTGCTATCAAATGTTGTTCAAGAGAATTCTATTAGTTGCAAACTTTTTTGAAAAAAATCAGCAGCTGTACATTTATATAAAAATAATACAATTACCAACACTAAAACATTTGCAATCCTACATACAAATAAAAACAGAAATCCCAGGGTACTCAAGAACACCACCTTACCACAACACTGATCAATTCCCAGCTTGCACAAGGACAAAGGAAGAAAAATGCAAAAAGAAAAGTTAGAGAACCCAAGATTATTAGAATTGATCTAAATGGGCAACAGTGGACTGATGATCCTCATTTCAGGCAATTAAGTAATGAATTTTAAGAGGATATACATATATACAGTCACATGAAAATGTAAGTACAACCCATGTAAAGTTTTGAACATATGAGATATATCAGTATTTTACCTTCATTCAAAGAGCATTTAAAGATAAAATTTAACAAAAAAAAATCTATGAAAACTATGACTGTACAATCATTCAGTAAAAATTTAACAGATGTGCCATTTCCTTCTGTGGAAAAAAATAAGAACATCTTTGGCAATAATACTCCTTTTTTTAAAGCAGAAATTACTTCAAGTAGGCATTTCTTATAGCTATCTACCAGCCTTTGACATTGATTGGGAGGATTTTTTCCCTACTCCTCCATGAAGAATTTTTTCAGCTGTGCAATGGTTGAAGGATTCCCGGCATGCACCACCCATTTCAAATCATCCCAGGACATTTTGATGGGATTTAGATTTGGGCCTTCCAGAACTGAATTTCTCTTTTTTCAGCCATTCCTTGGTAGATGTACTAGAATGCTTGTTGTCATTAACATGTTGTAAAGTCCACTTTCAGCTGAGTGTCAATCTTCTGACAGATGGCCTCCCTTATCCTCAAGCACCCTTTGGTACAAGGAAGAATTCATAGTGGATTCTGTGAGGGTTAGCTGTCCAGGCCTTAATGCAGCAAAGGAGCCTCAAATCATTAACATTTCCACTAATGTGCCTTAGAGCTGGTGTTGATTCTTCTGGTGAAAGGCTGTCTTTAGTTTTGCCAAACATATCTTCTGGTATTGTGTCCAAATAACTCTAGTTTGCCTCGTTTGTCCAGAGTACATTGTTCCAGAAATTATAAATTTTGCCTAAGTGTTCATGTGCAAAAACTTTCTCTTGTCCTGATTTCTTTCTGGGCAGCAAAGCTTTCCTCCTGGCATACTTCCCATGTAAAAGTAATGTATGCAGCATTTTCAAATGATAGAGCCATGCATTTTGACATGAATAAAGTTGAGAGCCATCTGTAAATCAGATGACAAAATTCTGGAATTCTTAATAGACTTCTTTCATACATCCTATGTTTTGCTCTTGAGCTGAACGTATAGGGACGACCTCACCTGTGCAAGCTGGCAGTTGCTTGAAATCTCCAGTTATAGATGATCTTCTAGATTGTGGAATGATTGATATCCTATTGCTTGGCAATATTTTAAATCCCTTCCAAGACTCATAGGCATCTATAACCTTCTTTCTGAAAATCTGAGAGAGAGCTCTTTCAAATCTAGGCAGTGGTGATACTTCAGCAACGAAGAGCAAATCAAATTAAATGTCTGAGGTTTCAATAAGACAGCTTTGTTCCCATCCTCTCAGGCAATATTCTAATCATTGGCACCTCATCTGTTGCACAGGATTCTAAGGTGGAATTTTAGGTATGCAAGGAAGAAAGAAATGTAAGGGTGTATTTACTTTTTCCACATATGAAATCTACATTTATGTTTATTTATTATTAGGGTGAAGGTTCGTTCTCCGAGCTTAAGGGTTGGTTTCTGAATGTTTCATTATCAGGCTAGAAAACATCTTCAGTGGTGTTTAGTGGATATCTGTGTCAATGTTCTAGTTATATAAGGGCTTCAGGTGTGGGAGTGTCAAGTGAGGGTCTTGTGATGGGCCAGATATGAGTAATCAGAGAGAGGCTTGTGATGGGAAAGTATGTCAGGTCAGGGTCATTGGAGGGCGTGAATTAGTGGGTCAGGAGTAAGTCATCAGTGGGAGGCTGGTAATGGGTCATGTGATGGGGAGATTATATCAGGTCAGGGTCAATGGAAAGTGAACTGCTGGGGGGAGGGGCTTGAGGGTTGCTGCTGTCTCTGGATGGCTGTTAGATTGATTTGGATTCTGAAGGGTTCATAGGCTGGTTATAGGTCAATGTGTCTGTTAATGGAATTGTTTGTGGAGTGCCAGGCTTTTATGAACTCCCAAGCATGATGGGTGGTAGTGTGGCCAATGATTTTAGTGTTGTTCCAATTGAACTGGTGTTGTTTGGTGTCAGTGTGGGTAGCAATTAGGGATTTGGGATCATGGCATTTGACTGCTAGCTGGTGTTCATGGATCCTGATTTTTAACTGACATGATGTTTGTCCCACATAGAGGTAGTTGCAATTGTTATTTATTATGTTTATTTATTTAAACAAATGGAATACACAGTATAAATATGTTATATTAGATCCCCTTTATCAATATTATTAATATGAAGATTAAACATCTGTATGTTGAAATATGATGAAAAAGTCAACAATTTCTATGGGGTGTACTTACTTTTGCCACCTGACTGTATATTCCATACTTCCTTATTACTGAGATATGTACATAACAAGTGCATAAATTCTACTATAACATTGTACAAAAACATATAAAATTTTATATATATTTATATATAATTATATAAACCTGTTTTAAAGAAATCATCTTACTTTTCTTCTATCACAGTTTGACCATTACTTTTTGTTTCTTCTACAATAATTTTCTCTTCCTCTGGAAGTAGTACTTGGGGAGCAGATTCTTTACGGGAGTCTAATATAACATGATAATAGAATTAAAAGACAAAACATACTTTTAGACAGATATTAGAATTAATGTTCATAGGAGCAGTTGATATTTTATTTGCTTGTTCTCTATTTTATAGATATGTACCAGTCACTATTATAAGTTTATTATCATTGGCTTCAATAAGAATGGTTGACAAACTATGATTTAAATTTTTCAACCAGCATTAAATTAGGCAAAAACTGCCAAATTAAACTTAGTGCAGTTGTTAGAGATAAAGCTAGTAAAATAATAAGCAGTGATTATATAGTTGATCAAGAAATTATTGTGATTAATAAATACATTCAGCGAAGATTATTTCAGAAAGTGATTGAAGATGTTGCTGATAGCTCTAAACCTGGTTTATATATAAAAACAAAATTCAAATGGTACTTTACTGCTATCAAACACAATTCAAATTACTAGAGTTGACTTCAAGTGCCTAAATGTCTTGAACTTTAAATGTCTTTAAAAGTATGTTAACCATATTTTCCTGGGAAAAATAAAGGATAAACCTGAAAAGGGGGCAAATCTGAAAGAGGTTAAGGATAAAAACTAATATTTATATTCACAACTTTGCTTTAGAAAGGAAAATTTAAGAATAAATCCAAGAAAAATATTACAAAAATGCATCATTCAGTATGTTGTATGTTAGAAGTTAAATAATCAAAATAAAGAACAATAGTAAATTTTTGAAAAATAGATCTAAAGGACAGCTTTTTGAAATAAAAGATTGTCTTTTATAATAAAAGACGTATGGTCACCATACTTTAAAGTAATATTTCACATCTTTGCTAAATATCACTGTTTATAATCCCCAGCCAACATAATCATTTGCTGCTTCTCTTTCCACTATTTATTCTGTGGTAAAAGACTAGCACTTCTCAACTAAGAGCAAAACCAGCATATTCAGAGGTCCTATTCCACTGCAGGAAAATATTATTACCACAACACCTGTAAAGTTAGTTTATATAACTAATTATACTTTATAAAATACTAATTTTATAGGCATTGTGATAGCAATATTTTATTGCAATGGAATAATATCTCTGATTCTACAGAGTTTTTTTTATACCTGTCATGAAGTAAAATTCTATTTATCATTGTACAAGATACCAACTTACCAACTATATAGCTGGAAAAGGATTATTATAATACAAACTGAGTCAGAAATATTAAAAAATATTAATTCTGCAAATAGAATTAAAATAAAATCTTTATGGTACAAACATAATGCAAGTAAATTCAAAATTAAAAATTAAAAATGAAGACAGGTAGGTTGAAAAAATAGTGATTGGTAGTGAAACAGATGTTAACTCTGAAGGACAAACTACATAAAACAATGTTTTAATGTTAAGTTACTCAAACCACTCAGAAAAGTTATTTCAAATGTTAAAACATGGCAGAAAGCAAAAGAGATGGATTGAAATTAAGTAATGAAGGCACAATCCTTGGTTTACGAGATAAAACTAAAGAGTATATAAAACTATTGCTAGAAAAATACCAATAATTTTAAAACAGGATGTTAATTCCTGAGGAAAAAAAATTAACTTTATTCTGAGTTAGATAATTGACTTAATGTTAAGCCTAAGGGTGGAGATCTATTATCTTACAAGTAGTACCACAATCCAGTTAACCTTTAAATAAAGAGTAATTTATTTTCATTGAAATCAATAAAAAAGACATTTAATAAGGTCAAATTTTCAAAGAGGTTGATGACATTCTTTTAATGTTAAGCTTCAATTAATTCACTGTCACTTAAACCAGACTTCCTTGGAAGTATGTGAGACCATGTGAAAATGTCATTTCTGCTGCAAATACATATTGCCCAATATAGAAACATCTTTAAAGTTTGATTCCACACAGAAGGAAATTTCACCAGGGAATGTTTTGCCAAAAAAAATCCATTAAAATATTACTAATACGTGACTGAACTCCAATATGCAATACAATTTTCAAAATGGCAATTTCCTTCTACAATATAGTATAGGAAAGCAAAAACTCCCATTCCTATTTGTTATAATCCTCATTATCACATAAACACATCTGCCCAAGTACTTTCCATTTGGATGTTTAAAAACATCCCTCTTAATGTTACCTTTAGTTTCAACCTTATTGCAGAAATAAAGGCAAAAGACAAAGATAAAAATCCCAAGAGGTGCAACAAGTCTGTAGATAGCAGCATTTTATTAATAATTTATTAGCTCAAAGGAAAAAAAAGAACAAATTGTGAGACAGCAAATTAAAAGAACCACTGTAAACCCCAATAATTATAATACTGGAATAGTCAAAGCATGGCTTATATTAAAAATAGTAAAACAAAACTTAGCCATGTTAAGGGAAATAAAATCATCGTAATAATGGGATTATTACAACCATAAATAAAATGGATCTAGGTAAGCTGGAAATCTGACTAGATGGGATATTATTACCTGTAGCTGGGTGTCTTTATAATGACAGCAATATAACACAACATGTTTAATGTTTCAGGAAGTAACATTGTCCAGTAAAAGAATTTTTGCTGCAAGCCCTGAAAAATAAATGGCTGGTATTTAGGATTCCTTTATTCCTCTTAAAAAATGATTAGGCAACCTGTGACAAGGTTGGTTAGTTATATATTAGATTGTGTATGAACGATCTAGAAATCTATCTTCTGTATGTAAAGACTCTCTTGCATTTGCATGATGGAAAAGAAACAATGCAATGATTCTAGCTCAAGGTTTCTCAAATTCTGTGATATCTGAACCCCTAAAATGAATTACAGATATAAATATCCCCTATGTATAAAATCAAGATTTCATTGGCATTTCACATTGAAAATTTATTTTCAATTATTAAATTATGATATATGTAAGTTTATGGGTTCTCAGGCTTTTTGAACTGCCTACTTCAAACTTGCACAGATTTCACTCCCATTTTGCCTTCACAAATCTAACCAGATTAAATATTAACAATCTGTGGACTCCTCTTAGTTTCTTGTGATTTCCCCAAAGGGTCCCAATTTACTTTCTTAAAGATTAACTTTTTAGTTTAATTACAGCATGCCAGGAATTTAGAAATGTGTTTGGGATAAGCACACCCATTAAATTATGCTTGGGGAGATTAATAAGCACAAACATTTACATCACAAAGCACTTACACTGAAATATTCCTTAGATAGAGAAACTGACATTTAAAAAGAGGAAACACATTTGATAAGACACATTGGCTGTTATAATTAGTGCATTCTGCCAAACATCTGTGATGACTTGACAAATTCCAAGAGTAAGGACTACTGTCTACATTTGATCACAGCCCCAGTGGAGAATATAATCTTGTTTCTCTGTAGATTTCTGCATCCCTAGCAATTTATTTCCAATATCTGCACTATTGTTTCTGTCAAACTTCAAGATTTAGGCCTGATAGCTTCATTCTTTTAGAAAAAGAGGTTTAATCAAATATTGTAACAATATTGAATAGAATAAATAATGCATCAGAAAAGTTACTGTATATCTCACCAAATCATTCCTCTATATTTTTGATAATACCGGCAGCATGAATCTAATAATTGCTGTTAAGGAATAAATACTATGGAACTTTGAAAAAACTTGTTTCTGCTCCCAACAGATCCAGACAACTCTCTAAAGCATTGGTTCTCAACCTTTTTAATGCCGCGACCCCCCCAACTGGTCGTAAGTCGAGGACTACTCAACTGGTGCAGCACCGTTTGCAGAATGGAACTTTTGGCGGGCTCAGCAGGGCAGAGACAGCCTGGACAATTCCTATTGGCTTTTGAAAGCCAATAGAATTAGACTCTATTCAAGAGAATCTACTCTATTGGCTTTCAAAAGCCAATAGAATAAAAGGGAGTAGCACAGCTAAGGAAAAGGGGAAAATAATGGCGGACTGTGTTGTTTGGCGACCCCGTGAAATGGTTGTTCGACCCCAAATGGGGTCCCGACCCACAGTTTGAGAACCACTGCTCTAAAGTTAGATGTAACTTATATTAAAACCTGATGCTGGAAAATGTCCTTGAAGTTCTTAATGTGGATTCATGCCTCTGTGAGGAAAATGTTAAGATATGAAATGCAGGCGTTGATGATGGACATGCCTCTGTGTATTCTGCTGAAAGTAATGCACTTCTAAGCAACCCAAAATGCAGAAATGAAAACATGCAGGCTTTTCCCCTCCATATTTTGTTGAATTTATTTTTTTTCCTATTCTACACTTTTTTAAAAATGTTTGCTTGCCTAGGAGATAAGACTGAAGTTTAACCTCTCTAACCATGTTTTGTAAAAAGCTTTGCATCTACATTTTGTATTAAACGAGACTGCATATAAAATTGCTTTATGCTGTTTAGTAGTATCATTGGACCAGCCTATTATGTGTGCATGTTTGAAATCTGTAAATAAGATAATACAGGCTTGGATTGTCTTAATGTAGCTATATTTATGAGCACAATGTGGTCCACAACTCAGATATATCTGTTTGGAGATGTAGAAGAGGAGACCCCAGATCAACTTTTTGGGCACTATGGACCAGTTCAGTGGAGAAAGGTTTTTCACGGACCGGAGAGTGCATGGTTTTGTATTCTGCCTGCATCCCACTGATGGGGCTTTGCTTGTTTGTGCAGACCAGTTGCTGCCATGCTGCAGCCCAGTACCGGTCCATGGACCGGGGGTTGGGGACCCCTGGTCTAAGGGAATTTCTAGAAACTAGTCACTTTCTTTCATTGGTTCCACTTTATCAATGGACACTGTTTCAGGATCTCTTGAATGCAATAATAATATTTCTTAACAAATAGTCTTAAAGACATTTAACAAAGATGAAGTACCGATTGCAATACTTTATTGCAACTTATTATTCCTTGAAAAAATGATTAACATGAAAAGTTACCCAAGCTTTAATAGGGAGATAGAGCACTTTGGATTCAAGCCAAAACAGATCCTTCAGAGCATTCAGGCCTGTTCAGCTAACACTGTCAGAACTCCTAAAAGAAGCGGCAACAG